CCCCAAAACCCCAAAACCCCAAAACCCCTCATATCAATTTTTAGAATTAACTTAAATTTATTGAAATTATGCAATCATCATATACAAAATTAATCATAGTTATTTTACTGACTTTACATTTAATTTGCTTACATATTTTATAGACTTTTTTGTAAAAATGAAAGCGCCTCTTTGAGTTTAGAGTTCGTACTGGCTTCAGCCTGTATTTTATTGCCTTGCTAAACCAGAGGGGAGACGTATTTTTATACAATACCAGGTTTATCTACTCTCTCTATAATGTCTACAAATATGATTATGAGATATATGATATTTCTTACTTGCAAGTCTTTCAACTAGTTAGGCTTTTGATCTGTTATTTGCCAGATTTATTTAGGCAGTGAGAGGTGGTATCAGTTAGGCTGCTTCGACTGCTCCTTCAAGTAATCCGAATAGTATATCACCCTACTCTCTAACTTAAAAATTGGTGCTCTAGAGATTAGTATTTAGAGCTTGAACTATCATAGATAGATTCTGTTCAATTATTCCCTTTAGACTTTCATTAAGCAGTATCACTCTGAAAGTTTGCTAGGCGTGAGAAAGTACTTTGGCATTGTTATCATTTAGAACTTTGCAAAAAGCATCTATGAGAGATATAAACTTTGCAGGAGGAGCTGTTTTAATAGTTGTAATGTTGTTTTTAACGAATTCTGACAGTGTGTCTATTGACTTCAATCTCTTATTCCATTCATTGGTACTTAGTTCATTGATAATCTACTTGAATTCCTCCATAAGCATCGGATCAATAGGTTTAGATAGGTTATTTTACTTTTTAAAGGTATTAGAAGTACTTCCAAATCCGGCGCTGCTTGTACCCCCTGTGGATTTTAGGAAAGTTTATTGCATATTGAAATCTGAAGATTATGTATATTTACCAAAGCCATCACTGCCTGCAGCAGTTACCTAGGGTTAGCCCCTAAAGCCTCCAACACTTTTTGTGTCAAGAGAGCTATTCCTCATGCTAGAGCCATATCTGGTACTTCCATTATTACTAATAGCATCAATGTCACCCTTTTCAAGTATTTATTTTATTTTATCAAGTTGCTTCTCATTTGAGACGCATCTATTGAGAAGTCCTTCAAGTTCTCTCTAAGAACCAATAATGTTCTTAATGCTGAATAAACCAATCTTGCCCATATTTCTTACTTCAATGGCACCTTCATTTAAGAAGCCAGCTACTGTTTATATTAATTTATCACAATTTTAGAACTATCTTAATCTTGGTCCAAGTTTTTCAATTAGTGAATTGTAGCAAAGTGCTAGCTTCATTTTCATTATATTACTTTTAATATTTTAAGTTGCTTGAAGAGTATTAAAAACTTTAGTCTCAGACAGGAATGAGCATAAAGTCACTATTGTAGCATCTGCTGATTCAGAAATAAATATATTGGTATCTGCAGCTTTCTTAAGCAGAGCAGGTAGTATTTAGTCTACTTGACTGTCTAAGTCTTTTGAAGGGAGGTTTTCTATCATTAGTTTAATAGTAACAATAGCATTCTTAGCAAGTTGAGATCTCAAAGAATCTACTAGCTTGACTAATTCCTTGATGACTTATAGCTGCAATGGATTAGAACTAGATAGCAATTGTTTGTGGAATAATGCAACTCTTTTAATAGTGTTACAGCCATCAAACTACTTTTGCCAATCACCAGATTTAAGGCCATCTAAAGCAGTTTGATATTACTTTTCAGCATTCTATAGAGGCTCCTCAACTGGCAAATAAATATCAGCCTAACTCTGATCTATGGCAACAATATTTGCAGTAGAGTTATCAACTGATTATGCTCTAGATTATGTTTTAGCTTAAGAAGTGTTAGTATTTGATTTATTAGTAAGAGGAGGTTTCTTAATCTTAGTCATAGTTGGAGTTGCATTATAAGCGCTCTCTTAATCATCATTACTAATAGTCTGTAGATATTCGTGATTTCCTTTAACAGGTCCATTAAAACTTGAGTTAGGTTGTACTATAGGTTTTCTTTAAACTACATTCCCAGCTGTACTTATACTTTTTAACTTATTATCAGGGATCAATCCCTCGATTAGCTCTTATTCTTGTTTATCATCAAATAGTCGTTGACCACTCATTTTTTCAGGGGAAATTGAGCCACCATTGTCCTTATATTTGGAATTCGATTTTAGTAATTTAAGCTTGTCGTTGACATGTGGTCCTTTATCATTAGACCCGAATCCTCCAATACCGCCTGTGCTTTAACTCATATTCTTCTGGAAAGGTATAGCCTAATGTATCTTTAATTCAGTGTGTAGATGATTATTGGCTTTAAAGTAATCTTAGTCTGATTTTAGTGCATCAACTGTCCTTTGCCTCATTTCATTTGATTATATTGTTCTTGGCTTGCTTTGGTGTTGCTCTGGTGTATAACCGAATCTGTCAAAGTTACTTCCATAATTAGAAGTTTATTATACTGTACTTTGGCCTGATTATCTGTAACTATTACTATCTTGATAGGTAGTCACTGAATTGGTGGTAGCATTTAGTTAATCTCCAAATTCATTTGTTTATAAGGAGTTATTACTCATTCTTGAATTTTTATTAACTTAGCTAATTTGAATAGGCTTACTGGTCAATTGACTATCTTATTATCCAATAGTATTATTTTGGAATGAGGGCAGCCACATCGCAATTTTATCTGTCTCCTTACTAGTCTACACACTATCATCAACGTTTATCTTATCGACACTTGCAAATCTGTTGTAATATGAAGTTGGCTATTGCTGATTTTAATTGTGTACATTCACAAGAATTTTCTTATCCTCATCATGACGTTTTTTCATTTCCATGAAATTTTGAGATGGAGCTTTTGTGAGATTACTAGCCATAGTTTCTTGCTAGAAGTAGGCATTATTCCTATTATCCTTTTATTCTTCCATACTGAAATGCTTATTAATATTTAAAGGCTATGGTAGCAAATTTTTAGAAGAGATTTATTGGCCAGGAGCAGGGAATTCTACAATAGATTCCTCATTTATATATGGAAGGTTTCCTTTCTATAATCTCTCAATCACCAATTTATAGAGAAGTGATTCTTTTTAAGAGCCACTATATTCTAACACATCATCATCTGAATTAAAACATGGGGATACTCCTAATTGCTTTTAGATTAAATTTTAAGTCTTATTTGGTGACATACTCCTTTCAATACACAAAGCCAGTAGATCAGTAATATAATTCTAATTCTTTTGCTTATCTTCTGTTTGATAGAGTGAACATACTTCTTACAAAAAAGTTGGATTCAATGGTAAAGGTGTATCTTAATCAATATTACCAGGCGCACCTTATGTGTCATTAAACGATTTACCTTCTCCCTAAGTAATCACACTGTGAGCAAGTAGAGATAAAGCACCCTCTCTGACATGCCAATTTCCATGCTGCAAATATCTCATTGCATGAAAAGCAAATGTGCTAGCTTTGTAATTCTAAGAAATTAGTTATGATAATCTTTGTCTTACATTGATGATAAGCGAACAGCATTTTAAGACTGATTGCCTTATTACTACCTTACTATCAGACAGTTTTTCAACCAAAGCTGAGACTAATTATGAATAGTACTTTTTGAAATTAATTAGACTCATTTGAAGTAATTTGCCTATACAGTATGAAAAATACTAATATTTTGAACTTACAGATAATTTTGATTGAGCTCAATGATATTTTAAAGTTTATATCTGGTATGTATTGAATCATAAATCCTAAGAAATGCGTGGCATACGGCATAAACTCCACCTTTTTTTCACTCATCAGATACATATTCAATCTACTTTCAATAGCTTCAATAGCACTTGTACGCTCTTTCCACTAATTATTCTCATTGAGAGCTTCTATTATATGCTCTTCAAGAAGACCAAAATAAAGTCCATTTTAGCCTTAAGGATACCTTGACTCTTCTTTTGCTTGTGAGATTATTTTATCAAGTCCTTATACTGAAGAAAGTTAAGAGTTTATATTGTTATTGTTGCTCTGAAGTATCTCCTTTCCTACTATACTAAGTTCTTTGCTTGCTTAGTTATTCATGCTAGTCTTAAAGGAACTTTACTGTAGCGAAGAGCTACCTCCATTACCATTTCCAGTAGCATAATTACTTTACTTACTCTCTTCTATACCTCTTTTAGTATTTTGTACTTGGCTTTAAACTAAAAGTTATTATTGTTATTGTGAAGGTTGTGAAAGCACCCTTAATACCTCGTCCTCATCATTTCTGAGGACTGCTCTGCATACTTATTTTTCTTCTTCTGTTCTCATTGAGTTCGTAATTTGATTTTCGAACTAGAGGGGATAGCATTTGTTAATCTCTAGCAGTAGTTTTCTCGCTGTTTTAGCCACAACTTCTTGTGAATCTCTAAGTTTCTTAATTATAACTTTAATTAGTTCAATCATTTCTGGAGCAGGTCTGTCTAAAACCGACTGTTTCAAGGAAAGTAGTGCAGGTATCACAAGCATTGAATGCTGTCTGGTTCTTGAGTTAGTACTTTCCAATCCTGTATGAATGATGTTGAGAAGTACGAATTCCAGCTTCTTAGACACCTTTACATATGTAGCAATGCATTTGTGAGTAGATTTTCTTAAAACTGCTTTAGGGCTACCTAGGTTTTCGATAAAAATAGGAACTAATTGAGCAAACTGAATTTCAAGGTCATCTGAGTGCTAAATATCTGGCAGCATATCCACTAGAAGCTAATTTACCCGAAGAACAATCTCCAATTACTGTGAGTCCCCAAGAAGGCAAGACCTCAAGCCCTAAAATAATTTTTCCAGCTGACTCAGGAAACTCGCAGTTGAGCAACCCTGATTAAGCGCCTCTGCAAGCTCATTTAGCCCCTCTAATTTGCTGCTAGTTGAATTAAGATTCCTTATAATATGATCCAAATCCAGAATGAACGGCTCTAAAACTATATTTATGGGTTAGGAGATCAAATGAGCTTTAAATGAATAAAATGTGAGGTTACATTAATTATGTGAAGCTACTTAAGACATTATTTAAAATTATATTGCATTAAATCTTATTTCATATTATTATTGCCTTTTTATTAGTTTTTTTTTACTTGCGGGGTTTTGGGGTTTTGGGGTTTTGGGG